TGGTGGAATTCGATCGATGTTTGCCATGTTTAGCCTCCGGTTGGCAGATTTTGACGATGCTTGCTATGTACAACCTCCGATTGCCGGAGTTTGACGATATTTGTTGTGTACAACCTCCGATTGGCAGAGTTTGACGATGTTTGCTATGTACAGCCTCCGATTGGCGGAGTTTGACGATGTTTGCTATGTACAGCATCCGGTTGGCGGAGTTTGAGTGATATTTGCTATGTACAGCCTTCGGTTGGCGGAGTTTGACAATGTTTGCTATGTACAGTCTCAAATTGGTGGATTTATTTTGACAGAAACCTAACTATTCTATTTTCCGACAAGGGGCACCTCTCTTCAATATTTGGTCTGGATTTTGAGCGTACCTGCAAAAATGAAATGTTCTTAGTTATAAGATGCAAGTTGAAGTACATTTGAGAAATAAAGTAGGGAAATAGTATTTTGGCTCATGATTGTAGGAGTCAAATGGCGCCTCCGGTCGTGCCCCGAGACTTGATGTTATTTTCTTGATTCATTTGTTCCTGCGCTCAAAGAAAATTTTTAGTTTGGGAGGGGGTGTTGATTTGTATCGACTCGCGAACTGAAACTTAGTCACTGGGATCTTTTGACGTCTTCTTAGCCTGCACATAGTTTCTTAACCTAGAGACTTGGTAGGTGGAAGAGTAGAATTTCTTTTTGAAAAGAATTAGCTTTTTTTTTAGAAAATAAGTATATTACTTATATATTAGGTATATATATGTAGTAATTCTCCAGCGTTTTTAGATTACGACATGTTCCGAATTCCATCGAGCTTTCCATTTTGTTGACTATATCCAACATAGTCTTCTTGTTGCTTTTTCCCTCATGATGAAGCTTCTCTAGCACTTTTTCAAACACTATGACGATCGAGATTCTTCATATTCTGAGGTTACGCTAACTATGAGGAAGTGTTTCCTAAGGGTAAGAAAAACTGGAAATTATGCAGTGCATTGATCGATCCTGACTCAGGCTGCCTACGTATCCCCAAAGTAGGAATCAGATTGTAACGTAGTTCGAATACAAGTGGGAGAAATAGAAGTACGTAATGCAATGACCGAGCTTGACTCAAGCTGCCTACGTATCCAAGTGGAACCAGGTCGTAACGTAGTTCGATTACAATAGAAGAATGAAAAATATGAAGGAAAAGTAAGAAACTTGTGATGCAATGACCGAGCCTGACTCAGGCTGCCTACGTATCCAAGCAGAATAAGGTCAGGACGTAGTCCAAATACAACCGGGGAGAGTGAAAATATGAAATGCAATGACCGGGCCTGACTCAGGCTGCCTACGTATCCAAGAGAAATCAGGTCCGAGCGTAGTTCAAATACAAAAGGAAAGTGAAAAATATGAAATGCAAGGAACCGAATCCGACAAGGATTGCCTAGGTATCCCACCGAGGGAATTCAGGTCAAGCGTAGTTCTAAATACATGGAAATGATGATTTTGGGTTTTCTAAGGGAGACCGGATCCGATGTGGGTTGCCTACGTACCCCGCCGTGGGAAGTCAGGTCTAAACCTAGTTCTATTACATCAAAAATGCAAAAGTACAAGAAATAAGCACTAATCTTGAGGTCTTCAGATGTAGTATTTCTTGATGGCGTCTCAATTGATCGGCTTTGTGCTCACTCTGCCATTTATTTCTGCTAAGATTACTGCTCCTGTAGAGAGTACTCTATGAACCCTGTAGGGTCCTTGCCAATTTGGTGCAAATTTCCCTTTGGCTTCTTCTTGGTGAGGAAAGATCTTCTTCAATACTAATTGTCCCGGTGTGAACTGTCGAGGTTTGACCTTCTTGTTGAATGCTTTGGTCATTCTGTTCTGATAGAGTTGTCCATGGCAAACCGCGTCCATCCTCGTTTCATCGATGAACATCAATTGTTCATGCCTGCTATGTATCCATTCTTCATCATCCAGACCAACTTCTTAGATAATCCTTAAAGATGGTATTTCTACGTCAGCGGGTATTACTGCTTCCGAACCATAAACCAACATATAAGGAGATGCCCCAGTTGACGTTCTGATTGTGGTGCGATAATCAAGAAAAGCATATGGTAGCTTCTCATGCCATTGCTTGTGACTGTCCACTATTTTTCTTAAAATGTTCTTGATATTCTTATTTGCAGCCTCAACTGCTCCATTCATCTGTGGCCGGTAAACTGTGGAGTTTCGATGAGCAATCTTAAACCTTTCACAAGTTTCCCTCAAAAGATTGTTGTTGAGGTTGGCTGCATTATCTATTATGATTGATTGTGGAATTCCAAATCGACAAACTATATTGTTGCGAACAAAGTCTGCTACTACCTTCTTTGTCACTGCCTTGTATGTCTAAGCTTCAACCCATTTTGTGAAATAATTGATAGCTACCAGAATGAAACGATGTCCATTTGATGTGAGAGGCTCTATGGTTCTGATAACATTCATGCCCCAAGCGACAAATGGCAAGGGGAACCCATCACATTGAGCTCATTCGGTGGAACCCATATAAAATCTCCATGCACTTGACATTGATGACACTTTTGCACATACCTGATGCTATCTCTCTCCATGGTTATCCAAAAATATTCGGCTCTTAGAATCTTCTTTGCCAAAGTGAACCCATTCATGTGAGGTCCACATGTTCCTGCATGTATTTCTTCCAAAAGCCTTGTCGCTTCTGCTGTGTTAACACACCTCAGCAATCCTGAATCCGAAGTTCTCCTATATAGGATTTCTCCGTTAAAGAAGAAATGATTGGCCATCCTCCTCAAAGTCCGTTTCTACTTGCTTGTAGCATTTTCAAGATATTCTTGTGCTTCTATCAATCTTTTGATGTCATACTACCAGGGTTTTCCATCCAGTTCCTCATCTACATGAAAATAGTATGCATGTTGATCATGTATCTCTATATCGATAGGTTCGATGTAATTCTTGTCTGGATGTTGAATCATCGAGGACAATGTTGCCAAAGCATCGGCAAACTCATTTTGAGCTCGAGAGACGTGCTTGAACTCAATCCTTGTGAATCTCCTACTCAACTCTTTATGTAATGCAAATAAGGAAGGATCTTGACATTCTTAGTGGTCCATTCTCCTTGAACTTGATGATTTGGACGTGGTCTCGATGCATATGTTGGTCTATTTTGGTGGATTGTTGCTTGGACAGGGACATATGGTCTTGGAGGATTTTGGTATACTGGTGCTATAGGTGGATTATAGTGTGGTTGGGTATTATATACTAGGTATGGGACGTATAAAGTATGCGTAGCGATTTGAGGATTACTGGGTATCAGTGAGATGGTCCTCCTTGTTGGTAAGTGATAGCTGAAACATCCTCCCTTTTCTTTTTGATGTCGCCAAATGGAACCCCGATTGTATAGCCCTACTTGCAGCTTGCAATGTGACCATAGACTGAATCTTCCCAGTTTTAACACCCTCCTCTATAAAGTCTCCCATCTTGACCAATTCTGCAAACTTCTGGCCCATCATTGACATCATCTTGTCGAAGTAGACACCTTCTTGAGCTCGAATAAAGTACTTCGAGAGCTCACTCTCATCTAGTGGTGGTTGCACCCTTGCGGCCTCAGTTCTCCAACGTCGTGCCTATTCCTGGAAATTCTCAGATGGCTTCTTCTGTATATTGGCCAATGAGAATCTGTCAGCAATAATTTCAGTATTGAATCTGAAACGTGTCATGAAGTCCTCAGCCATTTCCTGCCAATCACACCATTTGCGAGGGTCTTGGCGGGTATACCAGGTAAATGCTTCTCCAGACAGACTTCGGATGAACAACCTCATCCTTAGCTTCTCATTTCTCCCTACATTGACTAACTTGTCACAATATGCCCTTAAATGTGCGTGAGGACATGTCAAAATTCGGTGGTTTGTACCCTACCGGCATGTCAATGTCTGGATGGATGCACAAGTCATCATAATCCAGTCTCTCCATTCCTCTAGTAACTTGTAGGCTTTTCAATGCCTTTCTTAGACCCTGAAGCTGGGCATTTATCGATGCATCTTCTTTCAGCTGGGTATCTTTCTCCATTTCTGCATATTGATCGACCTCGTATGGGACATTAACCACTGCTGGCATTGTGAAGCTAGGAGGTCCAGTGACATATACGGGTGGAACTTGTTGCTCATAGGGAGAGGCGACATGTGCCCCAAGTATCTGTTGTATTGTCGGTATGGTAGGGTCGCGATTGGAAAGGTCGGAAACGGTCCTAACTGCGGTTGGAGAAGCTGGTGGAACTCGACCGTGAGCGGGAGCGTGTTGAGTTTGTTTTGGCTGATTTGGCAAGTCGGAAGAAGGCAGGTCAGCATTTGCGAAGTAGATAGGTGCCTTGATAGTAGGGAAAGTGGTAGGCGACAGTTTGGCCAAGTCTTACACTTGGTGTAGTTCTTCTCTCAAGATCTCGAGTTCTTGCTCCATGCAAGCCATTTTCTCTTCGTTTTGGATGTATGTCATGTTTCAAGAACCTTCGGGGTTCTCAATAGGTATCATTATGTTTGCAGCACCGTTGATCTCGTCTTTATCAGTCATCTTTCCTTTAGATGGAAGGTTGTATCGTGAGTCAGCTAGTTTGCAAGTCGACACAAATCAACGTACTTTTGTGGATAAATGATGAAAAAGAAAAGAAAACAAAGAAAAAAAGGAAACTATGTTAGTTTGGAAAATATTGAAAGATGTAACAAATATATAAGTGTAACACATATATACGCCAATTTGGCGATATTCGAAACACGTCCTAATGTAGAACCTCTTTTTGCCTAAGGTAGGCCTACGTTGCAATCAGTTTGATAATAAATTATCCATTTAGCACATTTTAGATTTGAAGCAAACATAACTTCATTGATTAAGCTAGTCTTGGATGTTACACTGAGGTAGGGAATCAGAAACCTAAGAAATGAAAGTACGGGGGGCCATAAGGCATACAAAACGGATAGGCCACATGGCACTTTGAGGAGCTTATGAAAAGAGTTCAAAGAAGAAAGACGAATCTACGGCCTGGTTGGAGCATCATCACCGTCATCATCCCCATCATAAAATGGCTCTGGGTGGTACTCTGGAGACCCGTCGGGGCCGTGTTTGGGAGACATGTCTATCACCCCTCCATCTCTTGGGTCATAGATATTAGAACCCGTTTCAGAAACCTCCATGTGGTCTTCCTCCACCTCTTCTTCTGGGTCCTCGTCTGGGTCTTCTTCGGGATCCTCTTTTGGGTCTTCTTCAGGGTTCTCTTTCGAGTCTTCTTCAGGATCCTCTTCCGGGTCTTCTTCCTCTTCTTCTTCTTCAACCACCTGGATCAAATAATCGATGGATCCGGGAACAATTTGATTATACATGGATGCGGTGAATCCCATGCGAGGAAGCACTGATTCTCTAATCCAATCAATATGTTGGTTGTCTACAAACCCCGAATGCCCGTGTACGCTTGGATGAGCCATATGACTTACAGTATTCTGCCAAGCATAATACTCCGGCGTGCACCATTTTTTTCTCCTATTTCCAAATCGATCGTGTATTCCCACTCGGCTTGTAGATTTCTTATCCGTTCTAGCGAGACTGAAGTGAAAGCATCTTCATATGACCCCATGATTGACCATAGTGAAATGTCTTAGATGACTCCAAATTGCCGCATAACCCGAAGAGGTGCATATAGTTGAATGCCCCTCGGCCTAATTAACTCGATAAAGAAAAAATATCAGGTCCTTCCAAACACCACTCCTCTTATCCAAGAAAACTTCCACTGGATGGCATCTCCTATAAGGTTGTTTAGGAATGCGCGCAACTCTTCCCTTCCTGTTGGCGCACCCATCCAATTTTGAAGACGATCTTCATGGATTTCGATCCTGTTACGTGCACCCATGTAGAAATCCATTTGTGGATCACGACGATAGAAATGTTCTCTAGCCCAAATTTGTAGTAGCATACTGCATCCCCCGAAGAAGTTGTGCCCCCTAATGCAGGCTATCATCGAACGAAGAACTTCGGTGAGGATCATGGGCACCAAAGAAAATCTTTGTGGATCATTGAAGATGTTTATAACCATCAGCAATATGTTGATATCGACAGAATTGGACTTTATCGGGAACACCATAACTCCCAGTATAGCCATAACGAATACTCTTGGCCTCATATGTTCCCATGCTCCGCGAGTACATTCAAATTCATGTTGATATTCATAGTAACCTTTCGAACGCCCAAACCTCTGAAAGAGATAGTCTAACTCGACTTGTCCACCATCCACATATCTCTATAACCGAAATATATGCAGATCAAGAAGACTTAGAAAATCACCAGTACAGATAACTGACGGGATCATCGGTAGCCTCCCTCTAATCGGTAGTTCGGTAAGACTACTAACTCCTTTAGTGTATGAGGGATCTCAAAATCCAGGAATTTGAAAGTTATGGTGCTCGGTTCCAAAATCCCATTAGCTGAGTGACAAATACTTTATCGCATTGTGTCCCCAAAAGCGACAATAATGCTCCCAAGTGCCCTCGAATCTCAACCCCGTGTATCCTTTGGATATTTTGCCACCAATTCTGTAGAATGTAGGGAGCTGAAACGACCATTTGAATATCCGGTAAGTCTTGGTTGAGGTTCATCTAAAAAGAGGGTAAAGGGTGTAATAAGTTTATTTTCTCCAAATCCGTTAAGTGTTTAAGTTTGGATAATTTATATCAATTTCACACAAAGTTTATGTCGTCGAGTTTTGAAGAAGAAACTCATTGACATTTGGGTGGTTTCCTAAACGCAATACGGTCTATTGTCTTGCCTAAGGCTATGCAACATGACCTATTTTAAGAGTAAGATTTTTTCCTAGATGATTGAGAGTGGAACAGAGTAATTGCGAGAAGGTGCACTATCTTAATTGCACCAACTCTGAAACTAAGGAATCCAAAGAGAGTTTCGGAGGAGTGCAGGAACACCCATCGCGTGTATAGTGTGTGCGTATACGGCCAAAGACTCGATAGAAAGTGGAAATGACAGTGTAGAGAAAGCAGTAACAAGTAGTGTTTTAAAACAAATAAGGAACACAAGTTTGGATTTCACTTGCGACTTTTCAGTCAAGCAATATATCAAATAATAAGCTGAAAATAAACACATAATCATAAATATTATTCCTAAATTGAGTTTTTATAAGGTTAAAACCTAGGTAAGTCCCCAACGGAGTAGCCAAGCTGTCGCACCCCTATTTCAAACTGGCCGAAACAGTTCATAACATAATATGACTGCCACTCTGATTTTAAAAAAAATATTTTTGTTTTAGAGTCGTCGCCTAAATTTTAAGGAAAATATTAGGAAAACCATTTTTTAAATATGTAAATGTAAACTCTGTTTTGATTTGCGAAACTAGTGAGATTCTGAGTAAGGGTTTTGGTTACTCAAGGGGAAGGTATTAAGCATCCCTCGGAGCCTATCCGAAGATAGTCCTTAAACTCAATTTAGGAAAATAATTAGGAAAATTTGTTCATTTATTTGATTTAAAATCAATGATAAGTAAATTTTATTAGTTTAAGAAAAGAGTAAAATACAAGGTACGACATATATATGTCTATTAAATAAAATTAACAGTAGTATGTTTATCATATGGTAATAAATAAATAAATGTACTAAAAAGGATGACAATTTTATATGTTGAAAAATATAGATGTGTCCTATATAAATGTATCAAAAATAAATGTTGAGTTTAATGGATATGAAAATTTGTCATTTATTTATATATAGAATTAAGACGTAAAATAAAATAAAATTATAGTCAGGTTTAAATGTATAGTAGTATGTGTGAAAAGTGAGGTTAAATGAAATAAATAATAATGATACAAAATTATATAAAAAGTTTGTGATTTTAAATGTGTTTATTATAAAGTATAGTTTATACATGTAAGTTGTATTTTTTTAAAAACAAAAACATATAAATGTATCAAAAATAAATGTTGAGTTTAAAGGATATGAAAATTTGTCGAGTTGAAAATAATAGGTTATGTGGAATAATATAGAATTAAGACATAAAATAAAATAAAATTATAGTCGGATTTAAATGTATAGTAGTATGTGTGAAAAGTGAGGTTAAATGAAATAAATAATAATGATACTAAATTATATAAAAAGTTTGTGATTTTAAATGTGTTTATTATAAAGTATAGTTTATACACGTAAGTTGTTTTAAAAAACAAAAACATATGAACGTTTATTATTCTATTTAGTAGGAATAAATTGGCGATAAATTAGATGTAGTAAAATAACATGTATATTAAAGTGTAGAGATTTATAAATTATAAAAAATAAATAAGTAACACTTGTAAAATGGATAGTAGATGAAAGGGATAAGGGTCTGAAAAATACCCAACTTTGGTCGGATTTGTTGTTGCGATACTAAACTTTCATGAGGACCTATTACCTCCCTAGACTATTTAATACCGTATTTTTTACCCCCTGAACT